AAATGCACAAACGTTGTATTATTAGAGGTTTTAAGGAGCTAGCAACTGTATGAGGTCACATGAGCGCCAGAAGATTAGACGTGTTACAAGAGAGTAACAGATGTAAGAAAGAAGAAGGGGAGATACGGACGATATATGTTTGATAGGAAAGAAGAAGCAAACCTCACCAGAGCACCCACCAACCACCCACTATGCACAAACAACAACAACAACAACAACGACAACGACAACAACAACAACAACAGCAACAACAACAAAACCCAACCCAACCAAACTTCATCATACGGAAATTCAACATAAGTCCTCTGCGTACGACAGCAAGAAGCCTACCCTCTGTACCACCACAGACGCCGGCTTATTCTTGCTCTAATAAAGGTACAAAAGAGTGAACAATCTTAATATTATACCCCCCACCAACCCCCCCCCCCCAAAAAAAAACAACAACAAAAAAAACAACACACAAAAACAATAAAACCCAATCCAAAAAAACAAACAAATAAACCAAAAGCAAAAACGAAAAACAAAGACAAAAACAAAAACAAACAAACACGTCCCCCAAAAACAACAACAACAACTACAACAAAAACAGACAACAGCAACATTTAAAAAAAAAATCCTCATTTCAGATATTTCTATGTACCTTCCAGCCCCGTACCTTTATCGTACCCCCTTCCCCCGAAAACCAACGACAATCAACCAATCACGACAACCTCAATGTCTTCCCTTAATGTAAGTCTCGAAGAGATAACAAGGTAAAATCCCGGAACTTGAAGTGGGATTGAAACTGATCAGGGTGAAGTGTGGCAGGGTCGATGAGTGATAAGCTTGGGGCTTTCCGTGTCACAATGGTACACTTATCGTTATTGAAACGTGACTTTGTCTTTTTTTAACCACAGGGAGGGTAGGGGTAGAAAAGAAAAAGGGGGGGGGGGGGGAGGAGGTGTGTGCGTGTCTGTCTCTCTGTCTCTGTCTCTGTCTCTGTCTCTGTCTCTGTCTCTGTCTCTCTCTCTCTCTCTCTCTCTCTCTCTCTCTCTCTCTCTCTCTCTCTCTCTCTTTGTAGGTGTGTTTTGGCGATTTCATTAGGAGGAGAGACCGACTGGGAAAAGGGGAGGGGGGTATTTCAGGCTTCCTTGCGCTCCTGTTGTTGTTGTTACTGCAGCTCCGTGTGTGTGTAGTAGCCTATCCGTTCAAAAAGTTTGGAGCCCCGAAGAGCGTGCTCTTCGCCAGGGCCACAGCCTCCCTTGGGTAGCGGGTGAGGCAGTCCAACCTCCCTGAATCCTCCCCGAAGAGATGCCACCGCCGGACCTCCGTGGCGGGGCATCTCTGCAGCCAGTGCTCCAAATCTTGGGGTTCCTCACTGCACAATGGACAGGTTGGGTCCGATGTTTTGTTTATTCTATTTTTGTAGGCCAGCCGCCCAGAGAAGTGAGACATGACCACTGACGATCACTATTTCATCTTGAAACCAAACTGTCTATTCCCCCTTTTCCCCGTCGTTCTCTCCTGCTAAAAAAATCGCCAAAACACATATACACACAAAGAGAGAGAGAGAGAGAGAGAGAGAGAGAGAGAGAGAGAGAGAGAGAGAGAGAGAGAGAGTGAGAGAGATAGATAGAGAGAGAGACAAAGACAGAGACAGAGACAGAGACAGAGACAGAGAAACAGACACGCACACACCTCCTTCCCCGCCCCCTTTTTTTCTTTTCTACCCCTACCCTCCCTACATACTGCTGCTGTTACTGTTATTGTTGTTGCTGTGGTTATTTTCTTGTTTTTGTCGTTACTGTTGGTGCAGTTGTTGTTGCTGTTGTTGTTGTTGCTACAGTGTTTCGTCTTTGTTATCATTTCGTTGTGTTTTTATCATGGTGTTTTGGGGTTAGGTAGCTTTGGGGGACTAGATAGTTATTGGAAATAGAATTGGGTAGTTTAAAAAAGGGGTGTGGGAAGGGGGGAGAGCACAGGATGGTCGTGTAGTATTGAACGTTTTATAGTATTCTATTGACAATCGAACCTGTCCTATACGACCACCCATTGTCGAGGAGAAAAACTTGCTTTGGGCAGAGTTTGTTGCGCTTTTACTTAAAAAAAACAAACAAACATGTAACTATATCGCTGTGAATGTACTATATACAGTTTTATCAATTGTTGATTATTATCTCGAGTTTGGTTTCAAGATGACATAGTGATCGTCAGATGTTATTGGGATAAAACTTCCTGAAGTTGACATAATAACTTTTTATTTGCTTACAATTATTGTAGTACATGTAGATCTAGGTACCAGAGACTAAATTTTCACACAAACTGTATGACAAATTCATCTGTTTTAATGCATGTGAATGGCCCATGCCTCTTGGAATTGCAAAACCATTCTTTTTCCTCTCAGTCAATGACCACCTGCATTAAACATCACCTGGACAAACAGACACTTCCCATTTCCACTTTACGTCCCCATACTCTGGTCTTACAACCAAGCTCTGGTTTGAATTCGAACAATTTGCCTCCCTTTCCTCTCTTGTCGTCCATTTTTCAATGAAAACTTCCTACAACACCGTCTTATATACACAGAACACATAATATGGTCGCTTTTAAGCACAAGGGGGGCTATCCCGAAAAATGCTGTTTTTTAAAAGAAAATTGAAGGTAAAATTTTCCCCCTTTGTTCATTTTCTTTAAAAGACAAGGAGAGTTTTCTCTTAACCAAACACACCAATGAAACCAAACTTCTCCAAAAGGTAGGTCAATGCCCATTTTTGGTGTGGATTAAAATTTCTTGAAACCCCCGAAATCTGGATTAGCCTGCTTGTCCTTAAAAGCGACCATATTATACTTTACCATACATAACGAATAATAAGGGACATTTCATTGGAATAATATATGTCGCGACGCTCGTCAATTTTGGGACATATTGAGAACGTGGTAAGATCATGGAAAAAAATATTAATTTATTTTGGAAACAAATCAAGTTATTGACGATTGAAGGAGGTGGAGGTCACCAGTTGATTTCAGAAGTAAAATTAGCGAGAAAATCGCTGCCAAATTTGAGTTATTTCCTCAGCTTGAGAGTGAATGGAAACTGAAAATTTACATCTGTACACATTAAATCAACGTCTTTCCGTAACATCCACGCAGAAATGTGTTCTTTAATAGATATAAAAGTTTTTGAGTAAAAAAAAAGGAAAATTCGATAACAATTCCTAAACCCGCCGAAAAATGCCAGTTTGTTGTCTTTCATTTTTTGACGAACGCCTGAATTCACCACGCTGCCTTGCATAATGTTGCTGTTGTTCATTTTAAAACTGGAAACAAGGGGTAAGAGGCTACATCGTTAGTAGCAATCTATTTTTGACGTCATCTGGTCTGGGTAATAGTTAACTATCACGATTAACTTTACCAATATCCACAGCGTATTGTGGAAAAACATAAATATATCGAGTACATGTAATTCAAAATCCAGCACATTCTCACAATAATCATCAAGAAACTTTCAAAGCTGACAGTTTTCTGTCCATTCATGCAGTTCCTTTACACACATGGATAACCCAAATGAGTTTAAAATAAATTAATGAGGTAGACACATTGTCTTAACAAGTCAGTCCCCAATCCCTTACCTAAGTAGGTACACGTCAGTCCCCTATCCCGCACCTAAATGTGTACAAGTCAGTCCCAATCCCAAACCTAAGTGTGTACACGTCAGTCCCCAATCCTAGAACTAAGTGTGTACACGTCAGTCCCTGATCCCATACCTGTCTGTGTACAAGTCAGTCATCAATGTCCTAGAACTAGAACTAAGTGTGTACAAGCCAGTCCCCAATCATAGAACTAGACCTAAGTGTGTACAAGTCAGTCCTAAATCCCACATCTAAGTATGTGCTTGTCAGTCCCCAATCCCACATCTAAGTGTGTACACGCCAGTCCCCAATCCTTCCAGAACTATAGCGCGGTCAAAAACTCATTGCGCAACTTATACTCAAATATCTCTTTAACAAGTCATTCAGTGTCGTCCATACTTTGCACAGCAGTTTGAGTTTATTTTTCTTAACTAAATCATATTTTTTCACAACAATTTAGGCTAGATTAAAAAACTTTTTTTCATAAATTTATCTAAAATACTCTAAATCTCCGTCACGCTGAAAATGAGATTGTTCACAGCAGTTCCCGCTTCTCACATACATTGTGCATACGCATATGGCCTACGTCACAGCTCACCAATGACACTTTTTAAAGGCAATACTTGTCACAGGAAATTAATTTTATAGTGAACACATTTTTTTTTGCTCTTAGGGTTCTCAAACATGCGTTTTATAAAGGTGGTCACATTTGGAAAAAAAACGGACTTGCTTTTAAAAGGGATATTGCCCCAGCTGTAGACCTTTTAAAATCTGGAGAAACCACCCACTTGGATATTCTAATAGTATTTATTAAGGATTTTTTTAGAATACAGCTAACATATGTTTAAAAAAACCCAACAAGTTATTGTGCAAAAGCTGGGGAGTCTATGTTCGATAGTGTAGGAAATAGTTGACAACAGGTTTCGTCACGGGTGTGTACAACCAAAGAGTCTACATAACAAAAGGGGCCACTCCTCTCTTTGAGCCAATTAAAAAAGTGTCCTGAAAATTCGGTGGCGCCCTCTTCGCAAATGCACATCCTTTGCGAACAGAGTTACCCTACTTGTGTTAAAAAAATCAAAGTGAAACTAGCAAGTTTTTTAATACATTTCGGAAGAACGCTTTTTTAAAAAGGTTACGCTGACTAAAAACCTCTTCCAGAGGAAGGGGTGATTGTTTTCTTCGTTTAATTTGACTTTAGAATGAAAGTAAAAAATGAAAGTGAAATTTAAAAAAACACACCTAAAACTCCGCACTGAACGAACCCGAACTGCTGAAGAACAGCAGTCGATCTACGCACGAAAGGAGGTGCTATTCCTATTCTTCTTCTAGAAAAATGAAACGAAAGAGAGCTTCAAAACAGACTGCAGCGCCATCTGAAGCAAAGAGAGGATTTCCGGCGGACACTTTTTTGGCTGAGTGGACCATCTTGTTATGTACTACTTTTGGTACAAATCAGTCACCAATTCCTATCCAATGTGGTGGGTAATAATCCGCCGCCTTGAAATCGTTCATGAGGAATGTGCCATTCCCGGGATACCCAGAGAAATAGATGACCTTTCCTCCGGTCAGCCAGCCGGCCCACCAGCTGTAGGTACCAGCTGAGATAACGGCGTGGCTTGTTCGCGCCAGGAACGCCAAATGAAGCTGGGGCGAAGCCGAGCTCAAAACATGCACGTCAGGCCTCTTGATATTGGCCGCGCACCATTTGAGATCGTCACTGGACACCACAAACAACAGCGGAGACGTCTTTGGTGCAACTTCTTTGATCATTCTGTCAAACGCTTTGTAGTAGTAAGAAGGTGCCGGGGTATAGTAGCCCAATTTTCGGTGCGTCATGAAATCCCCTCTCCTCGCATGCACGCCAACCAGAGTTCTGTTGGGAAATTTCCGTCGAATTTCTGCCTCCAGATTTTTGGCGTCTGCTGAAATATTGTCTTTGAATCTGAATTCTTTCCTCAATTCATCTTGCGCTGATTCGAAATATTTCCAGGACTGACGAAAGCCAGACATTGTGATGTTCTTCTCCGGTAACTTGGTAAGCCTGATTTCAAAGATGCCAAAGTGTACACCGGAAACTACCTGCCAGCTGAAAGAAAAACAAAATCAAACGATGAGTTTATACTAGATCTAGGTATACAATAATGAACTTTACATTTTTGTGTACATCGCGAAATATGAAAAACACGATTTCCAGAGGCTCACACCTGAACAAACTTTGCTACACAAATCAAATATCTTCAGTCAAGGGTCCCTGGTGCATATACTAAGCTCAATGTTTTTCAAAGATATCCAACTATTCAAAATGATCAAAATATGGCCTGAGAAATGGTCTAGAAGCCATTTTCATATTTTTCCTTAAGGGAGGTAAACACGACAAAATTTAATCAACTTCAGAATGTCATAGAAATTGACCTCTGGTTTGATAGATACACATTTCATACGAGTACATACAATTAAAGAGAAAGAAAAGCGCTTTTGCATGAAATTAAAAGTAATTTAAAAAAAAGGTTAATATACGCATCTCCTGTGTCTTCAAAATACCCATACATTACAACCCCCCCCCCCCCCCCCCCCAGGCAAACGTGACTATTTTTTAATTGGTAAAAAAATCACCTATCATTGATGTTCTTGTAATTGTTCTTGTAAAGTGTTTTACGGCGCTCGCAACTGCATAGGTCATATGAGCGCGCGGGACACACCTAATATTTTCAGTTGGTAGGAAATTTTGAATTTTGCCCGGGTGGCGGCCGAAGCCTACTCTTATCGATTTTAGACCACCAAGGGATCTTTAACGTGCGCAACTTGCACACGGACCCTCCGAGATTTTTCGCCCTTGTCCGAGAAGGCTAGGTGTAGATCTTTCCTACCAGAAGATCAGGGGTGTGGCAGAAAGACAGCAGTAAGGAGGAGCCAAGGAGTAGCAGTAGAAAGGCTGCAGAAAGAGTCAAGAGCCCAGAGGAGGGGGCAAAGGAGGTGAGGGGGTGGGGGCAGAAAGTGGAATTGAAAGCAGACAACAGAACATTGCTAGAGAGCAGGAAAGGAGGTGAAAGGAGACAATTTTAGAGAAGAAAATTTTTCGGTCGCTACCCGGATTCGAACCCGGGACCTTTGAATGAGAGGCCAACACCTTAACCTCTAGACCACGAGAGCCCCCTATCATTGATAGGTACACATTATATACATCAAATTAAAGAGAAAGCAAATGTCTGTTTCGGAATAATTAAGAAGAAGAGGAGTAGACTACACTCCAATGCATTCATCTCTCCAGTCTTCAAAATAACCATCATAATATTCTAACCAAAAAGTTGGACATAGCCCTCCAATCTTAACATATTTTTTACAAATGAACAATTTTTTCGGTGCTAGAAAGCATTAATAGAGGTAAACGTATATGCAGGGCAGGATAATTAATTGTAAAAAAAAAAGTTCTGAATGAAAGAACAGCGACAATAAAAACAAACAAATCCAAAACAGTAATCCAACACGCAAGTGCAAGATAACTTGACCGACTTGAAGGATACTGTTCCTGCTGCTGCTGCTGCTGCTACTACTACACTTACTACTACTGCTGCTGCTGCTGCTGCTGCTGCTGCTGCTGCTGCTGCTGCTGCTGCTGCTGCTGCTGCTGCTACTACTACTACTACTACTACTTTCCTACCAGAAGTTCAGGGGCGAGGCTGAAAGAAAGCAGTAAGAAAGAGCCAAGGAGTAGGGGTAGAAAGGCTGCAGAAAATGTGTCAGGAGCCCAGAGGAGGGGGCAAATGAGGTGAGGGGGTGGGGCAGAAAGAGAAGACGAAAGCCGACAACAAAACGTTGCTAGAGAACAGGAAATGAGGTGAAAGGAGACAATTTTAGAGAAGAAAATTTTTCGGTCGCTACCCGGATTCGAATCCGGGACCTTTGAATGAGAGGCCAACACCCAACCTCTAGGCCACGAGAGCTCCCGTCTTACACTAAGAGACACGTGACTACTCACACGTACACTACGCTACGGTCTTATTTTGTTAGTCGTCGATCTGGCAGTAAAACATCTACAGTTATAAACTAAAACAATAAGCAAAGAGCAACCGACCGGTCACAGCCGTGGGAAGTGTTGAAGGTCCTCGCGTGTGTTATTTGGAAAGCGTTCTGCATGTCGCTGGTCCTGGTCAACAGAGCTGGGATACGTCCTTGAGAACGGGCCACGCCCACAGTGGCGGCGTACTCAAACATCTGGTTGCCAAGGCGACCATTTAGGCCAGTGCTGACAAACAGCGGGCAATTTCCAGTACTTTCTTTTTCTTTTTCTTTCTTCTGCCGAGTTTCGTTTCCTTTGAGGGCGTCTGCTGTCGGTCCCTGAGTTTGCCCGTCGGAGCTGTGGTTGACGTGTTTCGGGACTGTCTTACTTTGAGTCTCTTCCCATTTAAGTTCTATCAGTGTAACAGGTTTGATCTGGGGAAGTGAAGCAATAGAGAAGTATTCGTAAGGATGAAAGGAACGCAAAGCGAATATATACTACAAAAAATGAGAAAGTATTCGCTGTGGACGCGAGCACTGTGACAGGGTTTAGGAACTTCTCCTTCCACCACACAAAGGACACGAGTTCGATTCCTAGATAGGGAAATATTTTTCATCGAGTACCTATGGTGCTTGCTATTGATAAAAGTTAACCAAGAGATCAATAGCTTATCAACAAATAATCATTAAATATATAGAAATGAGTAATCAATAAGCAAATAACAGAATAAATGAAAACAGTAAATTAACAGATTATACAATAAAAACAAACAAGTAATAAAAAGTGAATAAATTATACGAAACAACATAAATGGATCAACAAATGAAAAGACAAACGATATAAAATAATAAATAATCTTAAGACTTTTTACGGAAAATCTGAAAACAAAAATTCATTTTCTGAAGTGAGAGAAAAGAATATTACTACCTTAGACATAAAATCCCCACGGCCAATCCTTCGGACGTAGATTTTGATGACAACGACGGCCACAGAAAACACAAAGGCTATGACCGTCGCTTTTCTTAATGTAATCATAGTACAAAATATCATTTGTCTCTAGACAACTTGCTTTTCGTGTCACTGCATTACATTTGTTTTTAAAAAAATCTCAAGACTGCTACAGCTGACTTGAAATTGACAGAAGTGAAGCTTAAAAATACAGCCGTTCTGGGTTGAGTTGACATCATCCTGGGGCGTCTTTGGTGTTGAGATCAGCCGCTTCGATGTCGCACGCAGGAGACCTGGGGAATATGAGTGTGTGTGTGTGTGTGTGTGTGTGTGTGTGTGTGAGAGAGAGAGAGAGAGAGAGAGAGAAAGAGTATTTGTGTGTGTGTGTGTGTGTGTTGGTGTGTGTGTGTTTGTGAGTGAGTGTGTGCGTGTGTTTCTGTGTGTGTGAGAGAAAGAGAGAGAGAGAGAGAGAGAGAGAGAGAGA